TGTTAAAACTAACGTTACAGTTCTGTGGAAGGGCTGATTAGCTGTCCTCAAAGATAACTGTTCTTGATCCCTAGAATCTATTTTATATAGCAAAGGGACTTTATAGACTCGAGTAAGGATCTTGAAATGGGAGCTTCTCTTAGGTTATCTGTGTGGGCTCCTTCTAATAAAGAGATTCTTATAAATGAAATAGGGAGGCAGGAGAGCCAGAGGGAGACTGGAGACGCTGTGTTGCTGGCTCAGAAGCTAGAGGAAAGGCTGTGAGCCGAGGAAAAGCAGGTGCTATAGAGATGGTAGAGACCGCTAGGCAGCATCCTCCCTCGAGCCTCCATAGGGCTCTACAGCTCTGCTGTTGCAACAGTTTTAGCCAAGTGAGATCTCTTTCAGACTTCTGACTTCTCTAGGTCAAGTCGTTTCAAAGCCAAATTTGTGCTAACTTGTCGCTACAGCAATAGGAGACTGATACAGGTCTCTTCTGGTAGAGGGGGCGTTTAGAAGAATGAGGGCATCAAACAGCAGTGTTGCTCCCAGCTACATTGTTAAAACAGTCATGGTACTCGTTCTACCACCCAACCAAAGGGGCCAATGCTTCAGAAAAGAGAGCTGTTCCCATCATTGAAGGAATTCAAGGTCACTTGTCAGATGATTGGAAAGGGTTTTGTGCTTTTGTGTGGGTAGGAGGTGGAGCAAGAAAGGGGATTAGTCTAGAATGCGCTCTCCAGGGCTTGCTAAACTTGAGTTTCTATTATTCTGAATTTAACAAGAAAGCCGCCTTTCTTTTTAATGGTCAAATAGCAAATCCCTTGTTCTACACCCTGGGTCCATTTTTTGTTTTTGCATTTGGAAATGGTAATTCGAGTTGCTGAGATGGTTTATAATCCTGGATGTGAAAAACATTCACATAGCAGCAGCAACTCACCACACAGAGTGCCTGGGAATCAGGTTCATAGTTTGCCTTTTCTCCTAAAGATTTTCAGTGGTCGCAAAGAAAGTCAATCTGTTCAGGGTGAGCTCATGAATCTCCCTATTCTGCTGGCCTCTGCTCAGTCACTGAGACATTTCAGCTCCAGCGAAGGCTTGGCAAATACTATGGGCTCTAGCACTATAGTTGATCTCTCAATTCCTTCTAATGGAGAAACTTCCTCATCAAATTGGCCTGTGGGCATGGATGTGGGGGCATTTTATTGACTGGTATAGGAGGCCCAGCCCACTGTGGTCAGTGCGATCCCTAGGCAGGTGGGCCTGGGCAGTATAAGAAAGGTAACTGGATAAGCCATAGCGAGCAGGCCAGTGAGAACCGTTCCTTGGTGGTTTCTGCTTCAAGCTCCTGCCTTGAATTCTTGCCTTGGCTTTCCTGGATGATGGACTGTAACCCGTAAGCCAAATAAACCCTTTCTTCCTGCAAGCTGCTTTTGGTCATGGTGTTTAGCACACCATAGAAAGCAAATTAGAATACTGGTTCACAGCCCATGCAGACCAGGTCTCTTGTGCTGGAGCCTCAAAAGCTTCTTGTTTATAAAATATAGATGGCAATATCCAAGAATACATGGCTGTTGAAAGGGCTACAGAGTCACAGAAGCAACAGACCCAGGACTTTGAGTAAGTAAGTGAGCTCTTTGCCTAGATTTCAGCACCTCTTCCACTTTCCCAGCTCACCTCCTTCTATATCAGGACCACAACTGAGGTAGTAGCAGTATAGGCCAGATCTCAGAGAGCTGGCAGAAGTTTCTAAGTTCTGTCCTAGGACCAAGAATTATACCAGGAACACACAGGAAGGTAGTAGAATAGAGACAGTTTACCAATAGAAACAGAGCTCATTATAAAAGAGAAAGACACTCCCAAGAGGGGAGTGGGCTAGTGAGGGGAAAAGTTGGTGCTTAGAGCCCCGGGCCAGGACACTCACACAGCCTTTATGTATAGCGGGCTTTTCTCTGTAGGCTCTGCTTGTGACCTATAGGGAGGTGGGGGTCTGTTCTTTTTGGTCAACTGACTTCATTCGTGTGTTAATCTTACTCTCTCCAGTCCTTCCTCTCCTGCCACAATATTTGGTTCTAACAGGCCCAGGCAGTACCGAGGCAGTCTAAGATTCCCTTCAGCAGGACCCAGTATATTCCCTGTGGACATCATTTCCCTGGGTCCTGTGGTATGAATGTGGTTTGACAGTGTCCCAAGTTTTACATGTTGTAATTTAACCTCTGCTGTGAGGGATTGAGCGGATATAAACAACCGACCATGGTATCTAGGGGTGTGAGCAATCTTTGGGAGGTGATTTGTGTTAGGTAAAGTTGTGCAGCACCCATGATTGAATTCTGGTTGCTTTATAAGAAGAAAGACCAGAACACACGTAGATGCATGCATGCACATGCCTATGCATACACACATGCATACTCCATTTTCTACCATGAGATGTCCTGTGCTGCCCCATGACTCTTCCTACATGAAGGCGATTAGCAGAAGCAGCCCTTCAACCTTGGGCCTTTACAAGTGGGAATCAAAATAAACTTCTTTTTTTAAAAATTATTTATTTATTTTGATTTTATGTGTATGAGTGTATGCCTACATGTGTTAAGTGTACCTGTGTCATGCAGTGCCTGCAGAGGACAGAAGAGGGCATCAGATCCCCTGAATCTGGAATCATGGACAGTTGTTAGCTGTTATGTGGGTGCTGGGATTCAAACCCTGGTCTTCTGCAAGAACAGCCAGTGCTCTTAACCACTGAGCCATCTCTCCAACCCTTCTTTTCTTTATATAATAGCTTGCCTCCTATATTATAACAACATGGAACAAAGTAGGAGACATGAACATTGTAGCCAAATGAAAAACAAATAATTTGAAAACAGAATCCATTTCTTCTTATTCTGACTAGATGTTTCTAACTAAAACAGTTATTTTTACCACCTCCCACCAAAGATCCCTGTCTCCAGTCTTTTTTATTTATTCTTTTTATTTTATGAGTGTATTGCCTGCATGTATGTAAGTGTGCCCATGTTGTGTAATGCCCGAGGAGGTCAGAAGAGGGATCAGATCCCCTGGAACTGGAGTTAAGGATGGTTGTTAGCAGCCCTGTACATGCTGAGATTTGAACTCAGGTGCTCTGCCAGAACAGCCAGTGCTCTTACCTGCTGAGTCATCTCTCCAGCCCCTCAGAATAGTTTTAGTTCTCAAAATGCCTCTTCAATGTTAAGGCCTCTCAAGACAAGTTTCTATCCCCAAATGTTTCTGAGTGTGAGCCTGGTCGATCTATCTAATGTCACTCCCTTAAAGCAAACAAACTCTCTGTCTTCCAGGAGTCATTTGTTGCCAATAGTTTCTCAGCCAAGGTTAGGGCTTCTTACCAATTTCTGCTTATATGTTGGATTTTTATCTAGCTGGTAAGTTACTCATATGAACTTACAACATTGGTGACAGAGTGCACAAGACCTATAGGTTCCATCTTTTGAAGTGGGCCTTAAATCCAATCAGAAAGTGGTTGGTTGTTCTCATAACTCTTATGCCACCGTAGCACCAGTGGGCATATCGTGGCTGGCCAGTTGCTATTGTGGCTCCCAGGGTTCTCAGCTGGTTAACGCTGATAGTTGCTTTTCTCTTCTGGTAGCTTGCATAGCACTTTCCAACACTATGAAAGATAGCCAGTAGAGATGAAGCTTCGAAGCCAGTACCAGCTTGATTTTGCTGTGTTTATTCTATGATTCACATGTGTAGTGTCTTCAGCAATAGGATCTTATTATCAAGTTCTGGTGGATAACCAAGAGCAATGGCAATAGCCAGCATTGTTTGAGGTCTATGAGACACCCCACCCACCCACTGATCAACATCTCCAGTAGAGGAAGTTCTTCCTGGCGTTGGACTTTTTATTTGCCAACCTACAGTGTCTAGTAGGGCCACTGAGGCCCCATTATAGGGTAACTATATTTAAACTCCTTTTATATTCTATACGTACTCATTTTAAGAAGCTTCTATAGTAGTAGGTTTCCAGATGACTTTTTCAAAAGGCCTCTAATGTTAGTTATCCTGTCCCATTCTCCACCCCATTTAGCTCTTCCTATTCCATTATTCCCATTTCCCCTTTTATATCACTGCATTCTATCTCTTTTCCCATGAATCCCCACCCCCACCCCATGGCCCCTTACTAGTTTCCTGACCTCTGTGGAGTTTCCAAGTGAGACACAGCATATCTAAAGATTTAAAGCTAGCATCCATTGATGAAAGAACATGCCACATTTGTCTTTCTATGTCTGAATAACCACTTAGGATGATTATTTCCAGTTCCTTTAATTTGTCTGTGAATTTCATAATTTCTTTTTCCTTAACAGCTGAATAATATTCCACTGTGTAAATTAAATGTATCATGCTGTCATCATTCATGACATGATCATTCATGTCATTCATGATGAACATGGATGAGCAGATATCTCTGCAGGAGGATATAGAGTCCTCTGGGTATACGCCCAAGAGTGGTAAGCTGGATCATGTGGTAGATTTATTTCTAGCTTTTTGAGAACTCTCCACACTGATTTCTGTAGTGGTTGCTCCAGTCTGTGCTCTCACTAGCAGTGAATAAGTGTTCTTCTTTTCCAGTATCCTCACCAGCATTTGTCACCATTTTTAAAATCTTAGTCATTCTGACTGGGGTAAGATGAAATCTCAAGGTAGTTTTAATTTTCATTTCCCCGATGGCTAAGGATGTTGAACATTAAAAAAATACTTCTCAGTCATTTGCATTTCATTATTTGAGAACTCTGTTTAGTTCATTGTCCCAACGTTTTAATTGGTTTGTTTATTTTCTTGAGGCTTAGTTTTTTAAGTTATTTGTGTATTCTGGACACTGACCCTCTGTCAAATGTGTAGCTGGTAAAGAATTTTTCGTATTCCATAGGCTGCCTTTTCACTTGCATGACAGTGTGTCCTTTGCTGTACAGAGCTTTTTAGGCCCCATTTGTCAGTTGGTCTTAATGCCTGTGCTATCAGAGCTCTGTTCAAAGTCTTTCTTGTGCCCGAGTATAAACATAGAATGCTTCACAAATTTGCAAGTCATCTTTGTGTAGGGGCTCATACTAATCTTCTCTGTATCATTCCAATTTTAGTGTATGTGTTGCCAAAGCAAACTCTTGAGTTCCAATTGTTATGATCTATGAGCTGTGAACTGTATCTCAGGACTCTGTGAGGAGCATTCTTGAACGAATGATTTTTTTTTTTTTACTTTCATGGATTCATAAACAGAATGGAAATTCACAAAAATATCACTTGCTCTGTTGGTAGAAGTCCATGAGATAAAATGACCCATTTCACTGGCTTCCTACTCCCACTCTTACTTGTCTACTTGGAATTAGAGTGGCCATCAGTGTGGAGGAGCTATCCCCACACTGCCAGGATTATCAGGTAGGAATTCTAAGAACACTGGCTTTGCATCTCTCTGGTACCCTGAGAAAAGCACTGCGTAGGCCTGGCCCCCGTGTATCTTTGTGTCTTACTCATTCATGGCAGGTCGACAGAGCATGCCTCCAGACTTCCCACTCACAGATATCCCAAGACTTTTGAATACTCATCTTGCACAGCCATGGACTGTGAATGTGATCTAGTAAGTGATACTAATGGGAAGGTTATCCTGCCTTTGTGTCCAGTGTCAGCACAGTCTTTACATCTGTAGGAAGGAGGCTGGAAGTCAGTCAGAGAAAGGGGCGTGGCAGGAGAATAACAGACAGAGAAATAACAGATGAGTTGGACATGCTGGCTTCAGGGGAAGACAGAGCAAGCCATGATTGGCTAACTAATCAATGAAACCCTGAACATCTAGGAAGACAGCAGGAGAAAGAAGAGGGAGGAGGAAGAGGAGGAGGAGGAGGAGGAGGAGGAGGAAAAGCCACGGAACACTAGAAACTGTCTAGTAGAGCAAATTGCTCTGGGACATTTGTAACAACTGATCTGTGCAGCTAGCTCTGGCTTTCTGGATAAACCCAGTTCCAGTGGTTTCTATCCACATGCAAGAGGAACATTTCTGGAAGCCAGCTATGAGCATTCCTAAAGAACTGGAGAAAGCCGGGGACTCTTCTGCTACTATGAGACGGTCTTCCTTGGTCAAGGCGTCATCTATAAATAGCACCCAGGATGAATTTGCCTTCCCTGGAAGGGGTTTTCGTGTTTTCAGTTTATTGGGTTACCTGATTAAAAGCTTTGGAAGAAGTAATGAAATAAACAAGACAGAAAATAGGTCAATTTTGAGAAGGTTGGGGCTGGAGTCAGAAAGAAAGATGGTCAGCAGGAGGGAATTTGGAACCAGGTCGCATAGAACTATGTTGGACAGTGGGGGAAATTGAGGTGAAAGGGGCTGTTGGGAAAAACCACAAGGGAAGGGATAGCAAGTGCAGAATGGCAACTTGTGGAGTGGGGTGCTCTCTCGCAGGCCTGGGCCCAGGAGGAGAAAGACTTCAAGCCTCAGCCTCTGCTGCTGTCATTGGCTGGCAAAGCCCCTAGGCTCTGGGACTCTCTGCTTACATTCTATAGCATGAAGACCCAACCTGTCAGCCCACCTTGCACTGAGTAGCTGTGAACTCCAAAGAAACCTGTAGTGACTCAGCCCAGTGCAGAAGCAGGCGTGCACCAGTGTCAGCGGAAGGTGAGTTGCCACCAGCACCAGGGCCTGGGCCGCTGTTATCTCAAGGCCACTCTCGACTTGCTTTGCTGGCCCTTTGCAGTTCCTTTAGAATAATGCTCTGAGCAAACCATAGATGGCATTAACCTGAAGTGCCACCAACTGTGCAACAGATGCTGTTGCTTTTTCAACTACCTGATCTTGCCACCAGCACCTGCAGGCGGTAAGCAATACACTGGGCTAGGCCCCTAGCCATGCTCCTGGCTGAAATATGGACAGAGCCTGGGGGCTTTGCCAGCCCTTCTTCCTTCCTTCCTTCCTTCCTTCCTTCCTTCCTTCTTTCCTTCCTTCCTTCCTTCCTTCCTCCCTTCCTT